ATGTCATTTAATTTAATTTCATGCCAGTTTCTCTTTTATTTGTTTAGTATTTAGTATCAGTCTGTCAATTATAACAAATGGGTGTATATATCTGTGTTATTTACTTAATTATCAACCCTATTTATTTATCCATCTGCTTCTCTATCCAAACATTTTCCTGCTATTTATTTAATGAATATTTTTATTTATCAGGTCTTTATTTACCAGGTCAACTCGCTATCACTACTGTTTATTGTCTATATTATTTTATTTGCCGATGCTTATTTATTTATTTGCTTATTTTAAAAGCGATTTTTTATATTAATTAATGTTTGTTTGTTTGCCCCCAGGAGTTTCAGAGGGCCCAAGACCCCGGCTGTGGCAGGACTGGGGGCTCAGAAGATTCCTGGTGAGCTGGGGGGGGAACCCAGGCTGGGAAAGGGGAATTTGGACATTTTCTCCATTTCCCAAACCTCCTTCTGGTTTAAAATCCAAATTTCCAATTCCTGTGTCCCTTTAAAATCCAAATTTCCAATTCCTGTATCCCTTTAAAGGCCAAATTTCCAATTCCTGTGTCCCTTTAAAAGCCAAATTTCCAATTCCTTTGTCCCTTTAAAATCCAAATTTCCAATATTCTTGGCTGTTAAAGCCACGGATCTTCCAAATCTCCTGACAATTTCAAGGCCAGCGAAAATGAGCCAAATTGGATTAAAATAGACATATGTACATATACAAACAGACATATATAGACATATATATACACATAGATACATATATACATAAATATATATATATAGGTGTATATATGTAGATTATATGTGTATATATGTAGATATACATATATATGTATATATATGTGTCTTTATGTACATATATATTAATTATATATATAATATTTATTTACATATATATTAAAAATATATATGTACATATATATACACATAGACACATGTATAAATATATATACATATATATGCTCATATACATATATATACTCATATGCATATATACACAGATATAAAAATATATACATACACATATGCACATATATAAAATATATAGATTTTACATATAAACCTAAATATAAATGATAAATATATATAATATAATTAATAATATAATATAATATAATATAATATAATATAATATAATATAATATAACATAATACAATATAATATAATATAATATAATATAATATAATATAATATAATATAATATAATATAATATA